TCCAATCTACAGACCAACTGCGGTAGCAAATGCTCACCCCAGTCCTCTGCCATTTTATTTTATTTTTAAAAATTTTTTTTTGACAGGCAGAGTGGACAGAGAGAGAGAGAGAGAGAGAAAGGTCTTCCCTTTGCCATTGGTTCACCCTCCAATGGCCGGCGCACTGCGGCCGGCGCACCGCGCTGATCCAATGGCAGGAGCCAGGTACTTATCCTGGTCTCCCATGGGGTGCAGGGCCCAAGCACTTGGGCCATCCTCCACTGCACTCCCTGGCCACAGCAGAGAGCTGGCCTGGAAGAGGGGCAACCGGGACAGAATCCGGCGCCCTGACCGGGACTAGAACCCGGTGTGCTGGTGCTGCAAGGCGGAGGATTAGCCTAGTGAGCCGAGGCGCCGGCCCTCTGCCATTTTAAATGTTTGGAAGGCAGAGAGACAGAGACTGAGCAAGATCTCCCAGCCATTGGCACACTCCCAAATGTCTGCAATGGCCAGGGCTGGGCCAGGCCAAAGCCAGGAGCCAGGAGCTCAATCTGAGTCTCCCATGAGTGTGCCAAGGACCCAGCTACCTGAGCCATCACCTGCTGCCTCCCAGGGTGTGCAGGAGGAGGAAGCTGGATGGGAAATGGAGCAACCAGGATTCCAGCCAGGCACCCCTGTATGGGATGTGGGTGTCCCAGTTGGCATCTTAACAGCTGCACCAAGTGCCCACCCCTGCCATGCCATTTTATGTAAGGAACTTGAATATTTTATGTAAGGAACTTGGTTCAGGCCCAGGAACCAATTCCCCAAGGACACCAAGGGGCATCCGTAGATTAAGGGATAAACCCTCTCCCTTCAGCCCCCGCCTCCCCCTACCCTTAGCCCAGCTCCCCTCCCCAGGAAGAGACCGAGGTTATCAGTCTGTCTCAACACCACCCTGTGGGATACTTTATAAAGCCGGCTAAAGAAGAGGGAGGGTACAGCCTCTCAGGGAGGTGACTTTGTAAGGATCCCTGGTGTCCGGAACTTGGGAGCACCCAGTCCCCAGCCAGGAGGGAGGGAACGCCTCTCTACCCATCTCCGTGAGCACAGAAGTAACGTGGACGCAGTGACTGTTCTCTCCTGCGCAGCTTGCTGCAGACACAGTCTGCCCTTTTTGTCACAGTCCAGGTTTATCAGCACATCATCCTCTCTTTCCAGAGCAGGCAGATTTTAAAGCCAACACTAAAAATATTAAAACGGTCTCTCCACCCCTGCGACAGCCTATTTATAATTGCAGCCGATCCCATCCCCCGGTGTATTTTTGCTGCCTTCTATATAAAGTAGAGGCGTCTTTTGTTAACATGTGCACCCGCGACCGCACTGAGCCCCAGCCCTGCCCGACGCTTGTCTCCCGATCTCCAGATCGCGTACTGGGAAGTCTTTGACGGGACGGTGATCCGAGAGCTGGAAGGCTCCATGTCCGGGTCTGTAAACGGGATGGATATCACACAGGAAGGCCTGCACTTTGTCACAGGTCAGTCTTCAGAAGAGCGAGCCACGCCTGGCTCCTGGAGCGGGAACGTGGGGGACTGCCAGGTGGGAGGCAACCGGAAGAGAGGCCCAAGGAGCTTCCAAGGCAGCTTGCTTAGATTCAGAAGATAACGGTGCAGCCTGCTGCTTTCCCAGGTGCATTAGCAGGGAGCTAGATCAGAAGTGGGGCAGGCCAGACTCGAACTGGCACCCATATGGGATGCTGGCGCTGCAGGCCAGGGCTTTAACCTACTGAGCCACAGCGTCCGCACCTCCCACTGGAGTCTTAAATGCCTGTCCCCTGTACTGGGTCACTGTTGAATGATGTGATGTCCCTGCATCCCCCTGCCGTTCCACCCCAGACAGATGAATTAGCCAGTGTTTGACAGAGGGCATTTACAGCCCCACGTGCCGACTGGAACAGCACTGGCGTCATTCCCCACCCAGCTCCTTGATTCTTCAGGGCATTCACAAAGGAATGTCCTCAGTGAGTTAAAGCAAGAGACCAAACCAGACACAGTGAGATTCCCAGTCCCAGAATACCCATGTAACTATCTACACTCAGAAAAACCCAGAAGGAACTAACACCAAAAGGCCATGGTGGTTATTTCTATGTGGTTGCATGAAGGGTGATTTGGTCTCTTGGTGGTTTTTTTTTTTTTTTCCTACCCAAATTTACTACAACAGACATAGATTCTAATGTCCAGTTTTATTCCTGGTCATCGACTTGAGAGAGCAACAGAGAGGCAGCAAAACCTCTCCCATCTGCTGGCTAACTTCCCGGATGGCCACAATAGCCAGGGCTAAGCCAGGCTGCAGCCAGGAGCCTGGAACCCCATCCAGGTCTCCCAAGTGGGTGGCAGGGGCCCAAGTCCTTGGGCCGTGATCCAGTGCCTCCCAGGGTGCATTAGCAGGAAGCCAGACAGGAAGTGAGGCAGCTAGGACTTGACCCGGCACCCCAGTACAGGATGCAGGTATCCCAGGTCGTGGTTGAAGCTGCTGTTCCACAGGCCCACGCCCACCCACGGATTTTAATAATCCAATTACAGCAGTGTGTAAAGGTAGATTGCTGTTCCTTTGAGCTGGCACGTGTGTGTGTGTGGGGGGGTGTTGAAAACGATCCAGTCATTTGAAACCAGGGCTGACGCTCGATTCTGTCACAGCAACGCCATGTCAGCATTTGTGTTTTTCAGGTGGAAACGACCATCTGGTCAAAGTTTGGGATTACAACGAGGGCGAGGTGACTCACGTAGGGGTGGGACACAGTGGCAACATCACACGCATCCGGATAAGTCCGGGCAACCAGTACATCGTCAGCGTCAGCGCCGACGGCGCCATCCTGCGTTGGAAATATCCATACTCCTCCTCGTGAGGCCACCAGGGCCTGCCCGGGACTGGGTCCCACCTTGATTTCTCCCACCTCTGTTTCTGTCCTTTACTCTGCATACTGTATCTCTAAGTTTCCCTCTCTTCCTCTATAGAATGCAATTTACATTCTTAAGCTATACATTAACATTGAAATAGGTTCCAGGAGTGATTAAAATGGTTTTGTGAATTATGAAGCAACTGCTGGTTTCTGGTCATTTTTTTCCCAGGCCCCTGCACAACCCAGGCTGTGCCCTTCCTCCCTCTGGATGGGGTTGGGTGGGGTGGGGCACCGCCCCTGTCCACTACACACAAGGCCAGGTGCGATTCCTTCTTCTTCCTCTCATGGGCCGGGCTGCATGGGGCAAAGCTTGGGTTCTAACCTAAGCTGGGCAGGCTCTTAAATAAAGTCTGTGAGGAGCAGGCATTGTGGTGCAGTGGCTAAGCTGCTACTGGGACCTACATCCCTCGTTGGAGTGCCCAGGGTGGAGTCTCCGCTCCTCTGCCAATCCAGCTTCCCGCAAATGTGCGTCCCGGGAGGCAGCTGGTGATGGCTCAAGTGCCTGGGCCCCTGCCACCCACGTGGGAGACTTCTGGGCTCCTGGCTTTGGCCTGGAGTGGGCATTTGGGGAGTGATCCAGCAGATGCAAGCCCACTGCCTGTCTCTCTCTGCCTTTCACATAAAAACAACTCTCCGAGCCCCACTTTTTTCTCTTTTGTCCAATGAGAATAAACTCCTGCCCAACGGTGATTGTGAGAGCTAAGTGTTAAAATGTAGTAGTGTTAAGCCAAGGGCAGGCTTGGGGACCTTGGGGCGATGGAAGTTCAGAGACTTTTGCTAAGTGGACTTGGCAGGGCAATCTATCCTGTGCCTGCCGCAGCGATGGCCATAACTGGCCAATTCCATACCCTCTGCGGGAGGCGGGGTGGTAGTAAATGATGCATGATGCCATGCTCCAAAAACCCCCCAGGTGTCCAGGTCACAGGGCCGGTTACAACCGCAGTGTGTACTTTATCTTTTCATGCTTGCGCAAAGGTAACTTTAGCCACCCTATTTGGGATTGAAGGTATTTAACAAACGACGATCACTGTTTTGTTTTGTTTTTTTAAATAACAAGTAGCATTTCAGGGCGCTAATGTAATCCTGCATCCCGCGCGCTACGGATCTCTTTTGGAGCTGGAAACCGACGAGAAACTCATTTTGCAAGACCTCGCCTGATTAATTATAAACCAGACAGTTACCGGATAGAGCGAGCTGGGAATCAAGGGCGGGGCCGAGCTGCTCCAGGCCAGGCAGCCACTCCGCCAGGGTTTGGCGTCCGGGAGCGACCCAGGGACCCAGGGGGCGCGCCTGCCACTCGGAAAACTTCCCGGGGAGCGAATCCGGGGTCGGAAAGCGCCGGAACCCGGCGATGCACACAGCCCCGGCGGCTCCAGTTCCGCTTCGAGCGTTAACCTCTCCGAGCCCACTCTTCCGCGTGCATACGGGGACGCGCACATCTCAAAGTTCTTGGAAAGCGACCCTGACCCCGTCGGCAGTTACAGAACAAACCACGGCCATCCCAGGCTATGTCGGCGCGGGGCAACATGCGGCTCGCTGCTCAGCTGCAGCAGGTGCAGAGATGACGCGTGCGGGCCGAGGTGCTGCCCGTCCCCAGGGGCGCGCGGGCGGGAAGGCGGTGGTGCCACCTGCCCGCGCGCACACCTGAGTCCGCGGAGGGCCCTGCGGCTCCCGGCGCGTGCCTCCCTCTACGCCCGCGGATGCCTGTATCTTCCCTGTACCTTTCCCTCGCGTCCACCTGCACAGAAAAGAAAAAAAGAGAGAGAGAAAAGAGAGAGCGAGAGAGCCAGAGCCCCGGCTACGCGGTTTTCCAGGCGCCTTCCAAACGTGCGCTCCTGCCTCTCCGCAGCTCCGAGGCTGGGCGGGGAACAGGAGCAGAGGTTAAAAATAGGCCTGCCGGTTGGGAAGAGGGGAGGAAGGGCGCGCCGGGCGACCGCGAGCGCTGCCAGGGCCGGCGGGCCCGCTCCGAGCCGCGGGAGGCGGGACCACGCCGGGTAGGGGCGGCGCGGCGCTGCCCCGGGGCCCGCCCTGCGGCCGGATTCCCGCGCGGGGCGGGGCGGCCCCGCCTCAGGCTCCGCCTCCGCCCGGTTCGCGCACACCTGGCCCGCAGGTAGCCGACGCCGGGCGCCTTCTCAGAGGATCTAAGGGCCTGCGAGCGGGCTCGTCCGCCTCGGGCCCGGGGGGCTCTGCTCCGGTAGCCGTGTCGGCGGGAGCCATGGACCCGGGCCCGGGGGTCGCTGCGGGAGAAGAGCCACCCGCGCCCCGGCCCCGCCGCCGCCGCCGCTCCCTGCGCCGCCTGTTCAGCCGCTTCCTGCTGGCGCTGGGCAGCCGCTCCCATCCCGGGGACTCGCCGCCTCGGCCCCAGCCCCAGCCCCAGCCCCAGCCGGGACTCTGCGATGGCGACGGTGACGGGGGCTTTGCCTGCGCTCCGAGAGCCCAGGGGAGCCCCGGGGAGGAGGAGCGGCCCCCCGGACCCCAGCCCCAGCTCCCCGGCGACGACGGGGCGCGGCCGCCGGGCGCGCAGGGCTTGAAGAACCACGGCAACACCTGTTTCATGAACGCCGTGGTGCAGTGCCTCAGCAACACCGACCTGCTGGCCGAGTTCCTGGCGCTGGGGCGCTACCGGGCGGCGCCGGGCCGCGCCGAGGTCACCGAGCAGCTGGCGGCGCTCGTGCGCGCGCTCTGGACGCGCGAGTACACGCCCCAACTTTCCGCCGAGTTCAAGGTAGGCGGCGCGCGCCCCGTCGGGACTGGGCTTCCTGGGGACTGGGTGGGGTCTTTATCGTTTAGCGCCATCGCTTGCTTGTGTCTTCTTTAGGGATTAATTTCTCCCAGGGATTTAGAGGGAGGGTCGGGGATGGGGGGGGGGGCAGGTGTAAATGTGTTCAGCCTCTTTTTTTTTTTTTTTTTTTTTTTTTGCATTCGACCAGCATTTGTTGGGAGTGTACAGGACTTGCGGCCCAGGATTCTAGCACCAGAACAGCCCGGGCGTGGGGCGTGGGGCGTGGGACGGACACTAGGCTCTTGGTGCTTAGGAGGCAAATGAGCTCGACTACACGAAGTAGGGCCTTGGAAGGAACAGAAAAGACATGATGGACCAGGGCCCGTGCTGATTGCCGAGGGCAAAGGCGGTGCGTTTGCGGTTTGGGAGGTGCACCTTTTTGTGGAATGCACATTAAAACCAGCTCCGGGTTGGCGTTGCTATTTCATTCCTGGCCTCCAGGGTCTCCTTGCTGGGGATGCTGCAGGGTTGTGAAACTTGGTGAGTGGTGTGTGTCGCGTCACCCGGGGTTAAGGCCGGATGTTGCTTTGGGGGTCCCCGTGGAATCAGAGTTCCCGATCTTGGATGCACCGGGCTCGCTCCCTGCTGAAACCACACAGCCAGCCGGGGCTTCGGGCCCAGAGCTGCAGCGCCCCGCAGACAGGGGATTGTTGTTGTTGGGGGAGGGGGAACCTGTCAGTGTTCATTCCACAAGCATCACCGCTCTTGAGTTTCAGCCTGGGAAAGCAGTCTTTGCCATGTGACCTACAAGGATGCCAAACGCACCTTCCCCTCTCCTGCCCCAGGAGGGAAACACTGTTCTACAGGAGTCGGGAATGTCTCTAAATACAAAAGGCAGTGTGGTATAATGGTTAAGAGCAAGGTCTCTGGAGCTTTGTGACCTTCAGCAGGTTGCTAGCTCCCACTGTGCCTCAACTTTACCCAGCTGTAAAATGGGCTTATATGGCACCTACCTAATTTTAGGGTTGTCCCACTACATGAGATATATGTAGAGCATTTAGAACAGTGCCTGGCCCATGGGAAGTGTTTTTTTTTTTTTTTTTAAGATTTATTTTATTTATTTGAAAGTCAGAGGTACAGAGAGAGAGAAAGAGATCCCCCGTCTGCTGGTTCACTCCCCAGATGTCCGTAGCAGCTGGAGCTAGGCCAGGAGCCAGAAGCTGCCTCTGGTCTCCCACTGGGGTGCAGGGGCCCAAGCACTGGACCATCCTCCGCTGCTTTCTAAGGTCAAAGCAGGGAGCTGGATAGGAAGTGGAGCATCTGAGGCCTGTGTGAGATGCTTTACCTGCTAAGCCACAACGATGGCCCCAGGAAGTGTTTGTTATTCTACCCTTACACCTCTCCACCTGCAGAGACCTGGAGGAGGGGAGAGGGAGAGAACCTTACTTTATTTCGCCTGATGCATTCCCATCCAGTTAGTGCAGCAATGGGAAAGGCCCAAGTGGTTTGAAAAAAAAAAAAAAAAAACCCTCCCAAATTAGTAATCTGCCTCCCTGACTCAACAGGATTTAATCTCTCTCCTGCTGTCAAACCCTGAGGGGCTGGGAGCTCCCTTTGAGCCTTGGTGCTGGGGGGGGTGATCTGGCTGTTAATATGTTAATGAAGGATCCTGGAACTGGGGCTCTGTGGGTTGCCAGCCCTTGGGGGAGGGGTCCAGGACTCTGCAACCTGGGCTTTTAAACATTATGGGGGAGGGGAGGGCACCATCAGCTTAGCTGCTAAGAGACTGCTTGGGATGCCTGCTTGCCCTATCAGAGAACCCAAGGTCAAGTCCTGGCTCCACTTCGCTCCCAATTTCCAGCTTCCTGCTAATGTCCATCCTTGGAGGCAACAGAAGATGGCCCTAGTGGTTGGGTCCCTGCCACCCATGTGGGAGACCCAGATGGGGTTGTCCAGCTCTTGGCTTCAGCCCTGGCCCAACCCTGGCTGTTGTGGGCATTTGGGGAGTGAACGAGTGGATCAGAGATCTCTGTCCATCTGTCTGTCTGTCTGTTTCTCTACCTCTTGAGTAAAGGTGGATCTTCGTGTGATAGAAGAGAAAATGTTCATTCAGTCATAATGTGAATTAGAAATTGTAGTTAAGTACGTTGCTTTCTTCTAGAGATTTATTTTATTTATTTCAAAGTCTGAGTTGGAGAGAGAGAGCGCGAGCGAGCGAGCTTCCATCTGTTGGTTCAGTCCCCTAGATGGCCGTAGTGGGCTGAGCTGGGCCACACTGAAACCAGGAGGGTCTCCCTCAGAGCTGGCAGGGGCCCAAGCACTCGGGCAACATTATTATTATTATTTTTTTTTTAAGACTTAGAGAGAGAAGGAGAGGGAGAGGGAGAGAGAGAGAAAGGTCTTCCATCCACTGGTTCACTCCCCAGCTGGCTGCATTGGCCAGAGCTGCACCAATCTGAAGCCAGGAGCCAGGAGCTTCTTCCAGGTCTCCCTCAGGGCTGCAAGGACCCAAGGACTTGGGCCATCTTCCGCTGCTTTCCCAGGTATAGCAGAGAGCTGGATTGGAAGTGAAGCAGCCGGGACTGGAACCGGCACCCATATGGGATGCTGGCGCTGCAGGTGGCGGCTTTACCTGCTACGACACAGTGCCGGCCCCTCAGGCAACATTATCTGCTGCTTCTCAAGGGGCTGCTAGCAGAAAGGTAGAAACCACAGCAGAGCCAGGACTTGAAATGAGGCACTCTGAGATAGGATGTGGGAGTCCCAAGGGATTTTTTTTTTTTTTTAAGATTTTATTATTTATTTGAGAGACAGAGCTACAGAGAGAGGGAAAGACAGAGAGAAAGATCTTCCATCCTCTGGTTCATTCCCCAAATGGCCACAATGGCCAGAGCTGGGCCAATCCGAAGCCAGGAGCTTCTTCTGGGTCTCCCACATGGGTGTAGGGACCCAAGGACTTGGGCCATCTTCCACTGCTTGCCCAGACTATAGCAGAGAGCTAGATCGGAAGAGGAGCAGCCAAGACTCGAACTGGTGCCCATATGGGATGTGCTTAACCTACTACGCCACATTGCAGTCCTCCCAAGTGATGTTTTAACCACTAGACCTAACGTCTACCACTTTTTACTTTGTAAATCAACTTTCTTGAATCTGATTTTTTTTTTAGTGCCCATATTGATACATTTCTTTCCAAAGAAATGTGCCAAGTTTCACATGTGTCAGTTATGCATATTTTCCCCAGCTTGAGTCATTGTAATTGAGAAATTGAAATTGTATATATTTACAGCATATAATGTATTTTGATCTATGTATGTGCTGTGAAATGATTAAGTCAAGCTAATTAGCATGTCTGTCATCTCACATTTTTTCGTGGTGAGAATGGTTAAGCTGTCAAGTGTCATGCATTAGCGTTGACAGCAGTCACCACGCTGGGTAGCAGCTCTGCACCACTTAACACTGAACACGGAGAAATACTTGATTTTATTTTTGTTTCTTTGATTAGGAGCCAGGTGAACGGCATCTCCATGTTTCAGGCCAGTTGTAATTCTGTCTAGGAACCATCTGTGTATCATTTGTGTACCCATCCTGCTTTGCTCTTGCTGTTCTCTTTGTTTGCATCTATAAATTCCTTAACTCTTATGGTATTTACTGCAAACATGACCTCTAAACTGATACCTTCTTCCCTTACCCCAGTACTGGAAGCCGTAGATTGGTTTCTATTATAGGATCCCCCCCTCCTTTTTTTTTTTTTTTTTTTAAGATTTATTTATTTGAAAGGCAGAGTGAGAGAGAGAGAAAAAACAAAGAGGTCTTCATCCACTAGTTCATTCCCCAAATGGCCACAACAGCCCCGGGGCTGAGCTGAAACCAGGAGCCAGGAATTCCATCCGGGTCTCTCACACAGATGGCAAGGGCCCAAAGACTTGGTTCATCTTCTGCTTTCCCAGGTGCATTAGCAAGGACCTGGATTGGAAGTGGAGCAGCTGGGACTCAAACTGGTGTTCCAGTATGGGATGCTGGCTTCCATGGTAGCCTAACCTGCGATGCCACAACATTAGCCCCACTCTCCCATTTTTTAAAGTAGACTTTTTTTTTTTTAAAGGGATTTATTTATTTATTTATTTGAAAGAAAACCAGAGAGAGGGAGAGACAGAACCAGGGAGAGAAAGAGGAGAGAGATCTTCCATCTGTTGGTTCACTCCCCAGATGGCTGCAATGGCTAGGTCTGAGCCAGGCAAAAGCCCAGAGCCAGGATCTCTCGCTGGCATGCCCACGTGAGTGTCAGGGGCCCAACGACTTGGGCCATCATTCGCCTTTTGAAAACCAGGGTGCCTTCTCTTCGCCGTTCTCACGTACGTTTTAGAAGTTCTGAGCAAAATTGTAAGATGTGAAATGGAGATGGAGTTAAACATTGAACAGAAAGAGTTCATAAATGGTTCTAGAAATCCATGTTCTAGAATTCTTGCTGTCACAAATGAGGTCAGGTACAAGACAGAAAATTGCCAAAAGCAATAATGGATAGAACCTATAAAATTAGGTGTGGGCATTGTGGCTCAGTGGGTTAATTCGCAGCTTGAAATAGCCAGCATATCCCATATAGTTGTGCCAGTTCGTGTCCCGGCTACTTTGCTTCTGATCCGGCTTCTGCTAATGTACCTGGATGATGGCCGGTGGATGAAGGCCCAAGCGCTTGGGCTCCTGGCTTCTGCCTAGTCCAGCCCAGGCTGTTGCAGCATTTAGGGAGTAAGCCAGCAGATGGAAGATCTCTCTCTCTCTCTCTCTCTCTGTCTTCCTTGTTCTCTCTCCCTCGCCCTCTGTCACTGTGTCTTTCAAATAAATAAATCTTAACATATAAAATTAGATTTCATTCATAAAAACAACCAGAAATATAAAAATAGCTAGGAATAATTTTAACAAGAAATATATTAGAAAGTATCAGTGTTTGAGAGAGAAAACACACCCACCCATACCCACACACACACCACACATCCATGCCACATTACAGGATAGAAATACCAAATGTTACTTTTCATCCTTCCTAAGTTAGATTTAGTTTTCATGCAGTTCTAGCACACTTGAATAGACTTCCTGTGGAAATGTCTTCCATAGGAATCAATGGGTTTAGTTATTTTTTTTTAAAGTATTCAGAACATTTCTGCCAGATACCTTATAACTGGACATAGACCAATAAATATCAATGTTCAGTGTAAAAGAAAAACCTTGGGATATATATATATATAAATGAAAAAAACTGCCCACGTTCCCATCATTCTATGATACTCATTTCTTAAAGTTTTGTCATTTTTTTTCTTTTTTTGAAAATATATTTATTTATTTGAAAGTCAGAGTTATACAGGGAGAGGAGAGGCAGAGAGAGAGACAGAGAGAGAGAGGTCTTCCATCTACTGGTTTACTCACCAATTGGCTGCAATGGCCGGAGCTGCGCCGATCCGAAGCCAGGAGCTTCTTCTGGGTCTCCAATACAGTTAGAGAGGCCCAAGGACTTGGGTCATCTTCCACTGCTTTCCCAGGCCATAGCAGAGAGCTGGATTGGAAGTGGAGCGGCTGGGACTCGAACTGGCGCCCATGTGGGGTGCTGGTACTGCAGGCGGTAGCTTTACCCACTACACCACAATGCCGGCCCCCTGATTTTTTCATCTATCTATCTATAAATATAAAAAACTCAAATATACATATTTGTACTCTTGTAAAAGAATATTTATTTCCATTCACTTGAAAGGCAGAGTGATAAGGAGAGTAAGAAAGCGAGATGTTTTCCATGCACTGGTTCACTTCCTGAACACTATAACAGCCAGGACTGAGCCAGGCTAAAGAAGCCTGTAATTCCATCCAAGTCTCCCATATGAGGGGCAGGGGCCCAAACATTTAAGCCATTATCTGCTGCCTCCCAGGGTGCACATTAGCAGGAAGCTCAATCAAAAGCAGAGTAGCTGTGACTTGAACCAGGCACTCCGACACTCCGATGGGGATGCAGGGTCTTTTTTTTTTTTTTTTTTTTTAAGGTTTTATTTATTTGAAACACAGAGCTACAGAGAGACAGAGACAGAGAGAGAAAGAGAGAGAGAGTTCTCCCATCTTCTGGTTCACTCCCCAGATGGCCGCAATGGCTGGAGCTGTGCTGATCCGAAGCCAGGATCCAGGAGCCAGGAGCTTCTTGCAGGTCTCCCATGTGGGTGCAGCGGTCCAAGGACACTGCTTTCCCAGGCCATATAGCAGAGAGCTGGATGGGAAGTGGAACAGCCAGGACTTGAACCAGCACCAATATAGGATGCTGGCACTGCAGGCGGAGGCCTTACCCACTATGCCACAGTGCTGGTGGGATGCAGGGTCTTAACCACTGGGCCAAGTGGCCACCTGGGATCGTCATGGTCAGCTGGAGGGAAATGGATTTCATGTAGAAGACAAGAACAAAAGCAAAGGCATGGACTGTAGAGGTAGGAAACAAATGTGGGATACCAGAGTGGCCTGTTTCCTTGGAGCTTTGACGTGCACAGGAGACCGGGGAAGGGCATGGATTGGGGCCAGAACCCAGAAGGCGTTGTGACTGTTGGATGGTGAGGAGGGGGGGAAGGAAGGATTTGCCTTGTCCAGCAGGGCTGTAGGAAATGGGCTGGTCCACCATGAGCGCAGTGGGCTGGGCTCCTCCTCAGGTGGGTGCTAGGTCTGGGTCTGCAGTACTGGGAGTCTCGCTCCCTGGGATGCTACTGCATGGGAAGCACGGAGCCGTCTTGGGTGCCAGAGCCCAGACTGCGTGACAGCCGCCGTGACAGCTGATGGATCTGAGCACCTGAAAGGTGACACCTACATCAGTTGGAAGAGCGGGCGTCAGGGCTTCTGAGACCATGCAGAGAGAATGCAGGTCCTGGGAGGAGGGTATCAGGGGTGGCTGTGGGTAGGGATGCCCAATGAGATGCACCACACCTGGTTGGCTTGAATTGCAGATAAACAATGATTTAGTACAAATACATCCCCAATATTGCACGGGACATTGATTCCTGGTTTATTTGACATTCAAATTTAACTGGGTGTCTTCTATTTTTATTTGCTAAATCTGGCAGCTCTTGCTTGGAGGTGGAAGTGCAGGGAGATCTGGGGGGAAGAAGCCAAATGAATGTGGTTGGAATCAAGATTTAGAACCAGGCTTCTCATTAATTAGCTGTGAAGTATGCTTCGTTGCATCCTAAAAGTTTCCTTTAAATCGCAAGGAAAGATGAAAAGAAAGGAAGAAAAGCAATCCCAGGCCGTCTGATTTGACTGGCAGCAGTGAGGATTGTGCTAGTTACAGCCTTGCTCAGACTGGTCCCTTTGGCGGGCACAGGATACACCTGCCTTGGATGCAGCTGGAACTTAGCTCTGCGTCTGAGAGTGGAACAGACAACCATCATATGCCATGAGCATACCCAGAGAGGGCGGCCTGCCTGTGTTCGGATGCTCAGACACGTGCAGGAGAGCCCTGGAAAGATACCCAAGCAATTGCTAAGAGAGCCTGAGGGCGTGGAGGCCAGGCAGAAGAAAAGCTTTCATAATAATTCTTTTATATATTTTTGAATATGCACATGTACTACCCTTTGAAACAAACCTATTTTTTTTTTTAAGATTTATTTATTCATTTGAAAGGCAAAGTTACAGAGAGAACTCTTCCATCCATTAGTTTACTCCCCAGATAGCTACAACAGCCAGGGTGGGGCCAGGCCAAAACCAGGAGCTTCTTCCAGGTTTTCTGTGTGGGTGGCAGGGGCTCCAAGCACTTGGGCCGTCTTCTGCTGCTTTCCCAGGCTCATTAGCAGGGAGCTGGATTGGAAACAGAGCAACCTGGCTTCTAGCCATCCTGAAATGGGATGCTGGGTGTTGCAAGCAGCCAACTCATTGCCTAACATGGGCCCCTGCCACGAACTTTCAGAAAGCTGGAATATCCATTTATACAGGCAATGACAAAACTATTGCAGGGTGTAACAGAAGGACAATGGAAAGGGGTGGGGGTGGGGTGGCAGTGGCTGCCATTGTGACACGAGTCAAGGTGGCACAGGGTAAGCTGTTGCCTGTGACTCCAGGAGCCCATATGAGTGCCAACTGAAGGCAGCAGAAGATGGTCCAAGTGCTTGGACCCCTGCTACCCATGTGGGAGACCCGGATGGAGTTCCTGGCTCAGCCCTGGCCATTACAACCATCTGGGGATGGGGAGCGAATCAGCAAATGAGATTCTCTCTCCTTCTCTCTCTCCCTCTCTTCCTCTCTCCCTCCCTCCCTCTCTCCCTCTCTCTCTCTCTCTCTCTCTCTCTCCCTCCCTCTCCCTCTCTCTCTCTCTCCCTATCCCTCTCTCTCTCCCTATCCCTCTCTCTCTCCCTATCCCTCTCTCCCTCTCTCCCTCTCTCCCTGTCTCTGTCTCTTCCTGTCTCTCTATAACTCTGCCTTTCAAATAGCTAAGTACATCTTTTTAAAGGGAGGAAGGGGGTGTAGCAAATGTTAGAGCTTCGAAGGCAGGGGTCTTGTCTGTTCTGGTCATTGTATCCCGATCCCTAGAGTAGTGTGTAGCAGGAGGGAGGCACTCGATACCTATTTATTTCAGGGCTGGCCCAATCATTTCTGGATCTAACCACAGAGGGAGGAGTTTGTGTGCTTTAGAGAGAGGCAGTCAGGGAGCCACACTTAACATGTTTAAGGAAGTCAGTTTCAGCGTCAGTTTGGTGGTTGCTGAAGAAGAGTGAGTTGAAGCCATGGGAATGAATGAGATCAGTGTGGGAGAGGGGGGAGGGTGAGAAGTCTGTTTGGCCGTGGGCTGAACAGAGAGAGACAGGTGGGAATAGGCCGATGGAGGGAAGACCAGTGGAGCATGGCACCCCAGCAGTCAGAGGTCAGGCGCTTCGGGAAGACCAGATGGCCAGCAGGATCAAGATGTCCAACAGCCAGGGCATGTGGTCTCTGCCCCTCCAGAAATGTGGTGCCTTCTCCTACACGGAGAACCCTCGTTCTGGCTGCATTTTGCGACAGGCTTCAGTGCGCAGTCCGTGTGCACCCCGTGCTGCCTGCGTGTTGTCATCTGGGGTCCTAGAGACCGCCGGGCAGCCTCGGAGGTGGCAGACAGCATGCGCCAAGCCAACCTCTGTCTTCCTTTCAGAACGCTGTTTCCAAGTACGGCTCTCAGTTCCAAGGGAATTCCCAGCACGACGCCCTGGAGTTCCTGCTCTGGCTGCTGGACCGTGTGCACGAGGACCTGGGGGGCTCGTCCAGAGGGCCCGCGTCCCAGAAGGTCGGTCAGTCCGCGATCGGTTTCCTTTCTGCCCGACCCCGTGGATTCCTGGTGCCCCTCGTCTCGGCCCTGTTTGTTTTCTGGAAGGCATTTCTTCCAGCGCGGTGTGTGTCAAACCTCCCCGACCCCGCGATGCAGGCACTAGGGCTTCATCGAGGCGCAGAGTTTGAGAAGCCTGCTCTTGGCCCGTGTTCTCTCCATTAGTGTGGTCATCTGAGGCCGGGAGCTGTTTCCTGTTATTCTCAGATGATGCCATTTCGACTCTACCCTTGCTTTCTCAGACATGTATCTCACAGAGCAGCAATTCCTAATTTTTTTTCTCACGCATGAAAAGCTCAGGTTGCAGGAGCTTTACGTGTGTTTGTTCCCATTCCCACGTCTTTATTATTAATTTTACAAAATTTATTTGAGGGGCTGGCTTTGTGGCGTAGCAGGTTAAGCCTTGGCCTGTGACGCTGGCATCCCATATGGGCACGGGTTCGAGACCTGACTGCTCTGCTTCTGATCCAGCTCCCTGCTAATGTACCTGGGAAAGCAATGGAAGATGGCCGAAGTCCTTAGATCCCTGACACCCACGTAGGAGACCTGGAAGAAGCTCCTGACTTCAGCCTGACCAAGCCCCAACCATTATGGCCATTTGGGGAGTGATGTAGCAGATAGAAGATCTCTGTCTCTCTCTCTCTCGCTTGTCTCACTGTCTCTCTTCCTCTCTCTGTAGCTCTATCTTTCAAATAAATAAAAAAAAAAGTTTAAAAAAATTTATCTCAGAGAGTGCATGTGAGAGTGTGCTTCCATCCACTGGTTCACTTTCCAGACCTGGAGTGACCTGGGCTAGGCTGCAGCCAGGCTGGGGATGAAGCTGGGAACTCCGTCCAGGTCTCCCACCTGCAGTAGGGACCCAACCCAGGACTTGAGCTACCACAGCTGCCCCCCCTCCCCGCCCCCCGCCCCCCGCCAGGGTCTTGCATTGATAGGAAGCTGGAGTCAGGAGCTGGAGCTGAGTCGTGAAGCCAGGCACTCTGTGGGACCACAGTCATCCTAACCTCTGGGCTCAACACCTGCTCCCAGCATTCTCAGGGTTTGGTGAAACCCCGGTTGTGTGGGAGGAGGAAAGCACTACCAATTGTAATTGGCACCGTGAATTGATCCATCAGCTGGGTTCTTTCTGGAACTCGCTAAATAGACATCAATGATGGGTTGTGTTCTAATGCCACCGCTTTGTCTCCCACTTAGAGAAAGATTGCAGGAAGTTGTTGTGTGTCAGCAGTGATGAGAACAGTATACAGGAGTAAATATATCATAAGGAAAAAACTGTTTCATGAGCTTTGATAACAAGTTGATAACTATAACTATACTTTCCGTATAGCTCATGGCTGATTTAGATGTGGCTGTGAGACCTGCTTTCTCAGCTTTTCTGTTTGTTTTACTTTTAGTTGGACACTTTGTTCCCCTTACTCTCAGGAGTGCACTAAAAACCTTGTAGCAAATGTTTAGGCCCGACTGGCGCTGTGGCGTAGTGGGCTAAGCCTCCGCCTGCAGCACCGACATCCAATAGGGGCGCTGGTTTGTGTCCTGGATGTTCCTCTTCCGATCCAGCTCTCTGCTAGTGCACCTGGGAAAGCAGTGGAAGATGGCCCAAGTGATCAGGCCCCTACCAGTGCAGGAGACCCGGAGGAGGCTCCTGGCTCCTGGCTTTGGATTGGTCAAGCTCCAGCTGTTGCAACCATCTGGGAAGTGAACCAGTGGATGGAAGATCTCTCTTGCTGTCTCTCTCTCTGTGTGTCTGTAACTCTGCCTCCTTTAAACTCTTTTAAAAAAGCAAATGTTTAGGCCTTTGAAGTGTCACCTTCCTGTCCCTTTATTATTTGCCCAGAGCCAAACATTCTAGAACAATAAAGAATGAATGGCCCAGGAAATGCAGTCTTTTTTTTTTTCCCTGTTTTAAACTCTTATCTTTCAATTTCATTCTATTTATTTATTTGTCTAAAAGGCAGAGTGACAGGGAGAGAGAGGGAGAGCTCTTCCATCCACTGGTTCACTCCCCAAGTGACTGCCAGGCCAAAGCCAAGAACTCCATATGGGTCTCTCGTGTGTGGCAGTGGTTCAAATACTAAGTCCATCTTCCATTGCTTTCCAGGCACATTAGCAGAGAGCTAGATTGGAAGTGGAGCAGCCGGGTCTTGAACCAGCACCTATATGGGATGCTGGCACCGCAGGCAGTGGCTTTACCTACTATGCCACAGCACCGGACCCCCTCTTTCTCTTTTAAAAGTACAGTTTGCAAGGCTGGAGTCATGATGCAGTAGGTTAAACCACCACCTGCAGTGCTGGCATCCCATATGAGAGCAGGTTCAAGTCCCAGGTGCTTCATTTCTGATCTGGCTGCTTAACTTTTTTTTTTTTTTTTTTTAAGATTATTTATTTGAAAGGTAGGGTTATTGGGGGGAAGGGAGCCATGTCTTCCATCCACTGGTTTACTCCCCAAATGTCTTCAATGGCCAGCATTGGGCCAGGCCAAAGCCAGGAGCCAGGAGCGTCATCTGGATCTCCTACATGGGTGCAGGGGCCTGTGTTCTTGGATCATCTTCCACTGCTTTCCCAAGAGCATTAGCAGGGAGCTGGACTGGAAGTGGAGCAGTGGGCCTCTCCCTGGCTCTCATATGGGATCCACCGTTACAGGTGGTATCTTAACTCTCCATGCCACAACACCGGCCCCAGGCTGCTCCACTTCTGAGCTGTCTTCCTGCTTACACTCCTGGGAGAGCAGTGAACAATAACCCAAGTACTGGGGCCCCTGTCACTCATGTGGGAGACCGCAAGAGTTCCAGGCTCCTGGCTTCGGTCTGGCCCAACCCTGGCCATTGCCGCCATTTGAGGGGTAAACCAGCAGATGGAAAATCGATTCTCTCTGTCTGTTTCTCTGTAACTCTACCTTCCAAATAAAATAAATTAAAAAAAAAAAAACCTGCAACTTGAAACTCTAAGAACATAAACATGTTGCATGGCTCACAAAAACTGAGTGACCTTCCAAAAGCAGCACAGCTAAGAAGGCATTGAGTCTGGGTTCAAGGCCATGGGGTCCTGGCTAGAAAGTTTGTTTTCTTGTTTTAAAAAGCCCCGCCCCCACCCCCATCCTCAATGACTCCCAAAACATACAATGAAATAAAACCCATGATCCAGGGGCAAAACCTGGGAGGTCTGCATACTCTGAGTTTATGCAACTTCCTCTGGGTTGTGAGATTACTCCTTTACCTACAGTGATTTTCTGTTTGTCTTGTTCAGACCCTCTTAGCTGCAAGCGTGTTATGGTTTGAATACTATTTGTCCCGTGCAAAGCTTATGCCGAAACTTGATTGCCGATGCAATGGCTTTCAGAGGTGCTGAGATGTTGCAGAGGTGAACAGGTCATGGGGGCGCCACCCTCGTGAATGGGGGAATGAGGTTCTTGCAGGTGTGGGTTAATTGTCCTGGGAGGAGTCCAGCCCCCCCTCCCCCCAGCCTTGTCTTGTGCACCTGCGCCCTCCTTTCCCCTCCCGCCATATAATAATGCAGGGTGATGTCCTCGCCCGGGGCCAGGGTCTTGCCCTTGGAGTTCCCAGCCTCCAGATTGGTGGAAAAATACAATTCTTTCCTTTGTAAATTGCCCAGTCTGCAGTATTCTCTTACAGCGGCATACAGCAGGCTACAACAATGTCTGAAATTTAACTCACTCCAACTTAAGGAAACAGGATTTATTGACTTTTATGACTCGCAAGTCCAAGGGTTGAACAAGCCTCGGATAGGACTGGATCCAAGCGCTTGGGTGGTGCATCTGGGTCTTTGACTCTCTTGTTCCTGGCTTTGTTCTGAGACTGGCTGTGCCCACATAGTAGCAGGAGGCCTTCTGCAGAGCTCATAAAACCTGCAGAGCTTGGGATTCCAGAAGAAACTCAGGGAAGAGTCTGGTTGTCCCAGCCTGGTTCACCTGTTCATTCCTGGGTCTGTGGCTGGAAGAATGGACTGTTCTGTTTGGGCACACCTGAGTCACAACCATGTGGGGTGAATGTGGGCCAATGAGGGATTTTATAGGACTCCAGTTTCTGGGTTGCTTCCCCCAGAGAAAGGAATGCTGAGTGGATAGGTGTAGGTAGGTAGGTAGATGGATGGAGGGGTGGATGGATGAGTGGATAAATGGATGGATAAATAGATGGATGGGTGGATGGATGGATGAATGGATAGATGTGTGGATGAATAAGTGGATGGATGGATGCATAGATAGATGGGTGATAGATGATAGATAAGTAGATAGATAGATAGATAGATATTGCTACTATACTGCATATTCCATGTGTTTATTGGGAACACATTTGGAGTCAGTATGATGTATTTAAGAATCTGGGATGTTGTTTGTTGAGTGTTGGCTGTGACCTTGGCATCTGAATCCAGTGTTTTTCACGGCTTCACTTCCTGACACACGGTGACCCTCTTGTGTAGTTGAATACGTGGTTATCATGCTTTAACGTCTTTAGAATGACTCCAAGGTTGGAGTAGTTTAGGCTCAATAAGTTGGCCAGGGCCGCTCAGCTTCTACTTGGTGGACACTGAGTTGAACTTGGATCTGTCCTGCAAAGCCAGGCTGCTGGATTCCTTACAAGTGTCTCGTGACTCCTCAGTTCCTCCCAGGGGGAGAGAGGCAGGTGGAACCCTCCCTGCAGTCTATACAGGAGAGGCCTCCTATCCTGTTCTCTCCCACCCCTCTGCCTGGCCATCCCAGGCGGCTTTTCCTACCTGGAAGGTAGGTGGATAGGCAGCCCTTCCAGGTGCCCTTTGATTTTCTTCTTTAATCCCGTGGCAGCAGGAAAAGCCAGCGGCCCTCAGGATGGGAGGGAGCATAGAGAGACTAAGTAACTTGCCCCACGTTACTCAGTTCACTGAGAGAGGCAGGAGCTGAAGCTAGAAAATGCAGCTCTCTTCTAGGGCTCTTTAACCACATTGATTCTGGCATTTGTGGCTGCAAAATC